TTCCTCTTGCCATCTTGATACAAAATCAGAATCAACTGGGCCTGCTCAGCATTTTTTTTTACATGCCACAGAGCATGCTTAGATGTTAATTGCTTAATTGTAGAAATAACACAGATCACCTTGTATCAGACTTTGCTGAGGTGCTGGAGCGATATGCTGTCAGACTCAAGTCACTCATGTTTTTCCTTTGTCACCCGTCTGAATGTATGTTTCAAGATGATGATTTCACGGAGGACACCTGTTTTATTTGTTTCATTTGGAAAAGAGATTTTATTCTGTGTGTCTGTGTGTGTGTGTGTCCTTCCTGCTCCTAGGACAAAACTCTGATCAGCAGGCCCGTTCAGCCTTCTCAGCGATCAGGACTACTACTGATTATCCTAGATACAACCAGGTTCAGTTCATCGTCCATCACACCTCTCTCTCTCCCCGGTTTCATTCCAAAATGATTTAGAATCTACAATATATTTAAGCCTTTTTCTTTCTGTCTTTCGTTAAAGGAATGAACATTTTAGCATTTTAATACTTTAGTGTTGCTAAAGGGTCAGTTCACCCAAATGATTTCTCACATATGTTTAGCTGTATCTAGTCATGCAGATAGTTTAAGTTTTATCTGCTCAGGTTTTCAGATGTTTGTCTCTGAATTAAATTCTGTCTGTGAAGACAGTAGTATCTTTCCAGAAATAGCCTCCCTGTTAGGCTGCATAATACAAAGAGCCCACTGTCAAACATTTTTGTAGGAACTACCAAAGAAAACGTTCACATAACAATAATAACATTTTCCCTCTTTTCTTTTACCTTCTTTCTTTGTGTGTGTGTGTGTGTGTTGTGTGTGTGTGTGTCTGTGTGTGTGTGTGTGTGCACGTGCACTATTATCAGATAGTAACCTACCAGAATGTTGTGGTCAACAAACCTGCCAACTTTAACGCAGCCACAGGTCAATTCACCTGCAAAGTATCTGGCGTTTATTACTTCACCTTCCACTCTGTGGCCAAGGTAACACACAGCCGTCTTTTCTCATAAATGCTGACCATTTTCTAAAATATATCAGTGTGTTTGATACCTTTCAGGCAGCCTCAAGTTTGCATACATTTCTGTAAAGAATCCTTTACAAATTTCACATTTCTGTAAAGAATCATCTTGCTGATTAAAGTTGTACACAACCTACAGCTGCATTATCAAACTGCATTACAATTGTGTTTTTCAGGTCAGCATTTGTCTGTATATAGCCACTGACGCACCATACAACAAGCTGGGATTCTGTGATTACAACCATTCTAAAAATATGCACAGGAACCAAGATCAGGTCAGTTTCAATGCTGAGCCCACGGAGCCTGAGAAATGTCAAAAGAAAAAGTCTTAAAGTCTTTTTTAAAGATCCCTTTCTAACATGCCTCCGATTTAAATGGTTGGGGGACACATTTCTGTAAAGAATCAACCAAGACATTTCCCTGACATCCCATCTCTGTGGAGAAACACACACACTGTCAGACTTTACTGTCATTGTTCTTGTTCTTTGTTGTATCCTGACACAGTTTAGGCTGCTTTGGAATCCCTTGTGGTTTACAGGATAGAATAAACTGTGGTTTCTTTTATATTTTAATGGTTGAGTTTTGTCATGGCGCCTTGCTGTGTTTCAGGTGCTGTCAGGCGGTGTGGTCTTACAGCTGACAGCTGGACAGAAGGTTTGGCTCGAGTCCTTTAAAGACCAGCAGATAGATGCTGACGCAAGAGACACCCGAGAAAAACAGATCATCTTCAGTGGCTTCCTGCTCTTCTCAAATTGAGAATATCGTTCAGTCATACACTCACAACAGCATTGAGTCAGTGCTGAAAACTGCACCCTTTATGAATTCAGTATCTAAAAGTCTCTGATTTCATTTCAGATATTTCAAAATCTTTTCTTAAAGGAACATTTCACCATAACACAGTATCACGGTGCAGTAATACGTCTTGAGCTTTTACATTTTTTTTTAATGTTAACCCACAGGTTACTTTGGATTTGTTCAGCTGATCTGTTTCCTTCAGATTCACTCATGTAAGCCTTATATAAATGTTGACTTTGTCTGTGAATGCAACTAAAACAAAATAAAGTTTATCATTGAGTGTGAGTTTGTTGGGTGTGTTTAAAGGAATGACACAGATTTTTAGAGAGTTGCAGCCTCCAAAACCACCAACCTGTTGTTTTAATGTCATCCGGTATTGGGCAAGTTACTCAGGAACTGTTGTGATACTATTACTTTACTTATTATTGACAATTATTCGTTACGTTACTATATTACTTTCACCATCCTCCGCCCCACCCCTCACCTCCTTAAAAAGTGACAGACAACCTGTTTTTACAGCTCATATTACAAATGAATCCACTTTACTGGCACAAATATAAACCCAAAGGAGTCATCCAGCCAAACTGAAAACACTACAGTGTCTCGAACCAGATGATGTTAAACAGTGTAGGCTATGTATATACATTACTTGACAAATTAAAAAACAAAAGCATGTTTATTCAATTCAATTCAATCAAGCATTCAGAAACCCTGTCAATGACATCATATAAGCATTTTGGCACCAGAGCAAAGCAGCGAATACACAGGTCGCAATACATGGACCATAATTAAAGAAGATAGATAAATAATAAAAGATAATAAATACTAAGTAAATAAATAAAGAAGTTTGTAATGCCTGGCACATGTCTAGTTGCTGCCGTCAGCAGTATTTAAAAGCTTGATGGCAAAAGGAATAAAATCATTTTCATATCTGTTGTTGGAGGGGGGCGAGGTAGCGCCGTCCTGGAGGCATTAAACAGAATTGCTGACTAAGAACATGGTCAGAACGATCAATGACTTGTCTAGCCTTCTGAACCACCTGTTTTTTCCATAGGGAGCTCAGGGCTCTCAGCTGAACTCCAGTGATCTAGGAGCATATTTTAACAATGCTGCTGAGGTTATTCTTGTCCTTCACAGACAATCCATAAAGCCAGCAGACATAAGAAAATGTTAAAAGACTTTCAATAAACGAATGATAAAAGTTACATAAGATAGGATAGAAACACTAGAAAGAGAGAATTTAGCTTCCGCATCAAGTGGAGTCTTTGTTGTCCGCGCTTTGCAATTGACTCTGTGTGTTTTATCAAACTTGAGGTTGGAGTCAAACATGGTTCCTAAGTAGGCTACTTATAGGTCTCTACAATTTCAACATTTTCTCAATGAATGACGCTGGCTTCTGGGTTAAAAGAGTTCTTCCTAAAATCAATGATTAACTCCTTAGTATTTATCACATTAAGGTCCAGGTATAAGAGCAATATTCAGTATTTTTACAAAACATAAAATGTTGCTTAATGCCACGTTCTTCCGACAACTGCATGCATCACAGGCAGCAGTGGCCTCCCTGTCAGCGCCGAATTTTCTTTCTACAAGTTTCACTTTGCTGTGCTGCGTTAGCAGATGCTTCAATGAATTTGATGTAGAATTGTTCGCCTGAAAGCTTTTTGCTTGTCACACAAAATTTACAACACATGACAATATATTTTGCACTTTTGACTGTGATGCAAAAATGGCAATAGTTACGGCAATACGATGCTGTTGAAAGAACGCTTATCTCCCTCATTCTTTCTTTAGCTTTTTGGCTACTAGCTGACTTTACAAAACATGTGGTCCAGCTTCTCAACTTGAACTGCGCCTGACCTGCCGCGCAGTCACGCATACACGGACAACAAAACAAGTGGTTTTCTGGTAAAACAGTGACACAGAGTTACTTGGATTAGTAACTGTAATATTCTTACTGTTTTGGAAATGGTAATCTATTACACAACTATTTACTGGGAAAAGTTATAATGATTCCTCCCAAAACTGATGCCATCATAGTTCATGTAGTTTCAAAACGTCCTCAAAGTGAGTGGAGACGGCTATTGGAGAAATATGATCCATGAAGTCCAATTGAAGTATGAATGAGTTTAAAGGCTTATCAAACGGCAAAACAAGGCAGACTACACACAGACATGGTGCCATTACTGGTGTAAATAAGCTTCCATAACATCTTCATCAAAGTACAAATTTCAAATCATGCCAGATTTTGTACGTGCATTGTACAAGAAAGTGAAAATGTTCGAAAATGTCACTTTTGAATAATTGAAGAAATCCTTTTTATTGTATAGTAAACTTTCGTGCAACCTTCCTATGGAAGTGAAACGTTTTTGGTTTAATCACTTCTTCTTTTTGGTAAACCTTTGTCACTTCGGTACGTACTTTGTTGACCTCTTCCTTCCATGATGGTGTGTGTGTATTTTGATTACATTGCTGGAATCTTCTTAATGGAAGAACACATCCTGTCATGAGTCAGAAGTTGAACTGGGGCAGTTTGAGTTATGGGTCCAGGACACTCAGAGAGAAACAGTTTTTATCTCTTGTTCTACCTTCACGTGTACGCCACCAGCTGACTGCTAACTGCATAAAGAAATGTGCACAACTTTGTGTCCATAAAGAAATATTTTTCCCAGTTTGGTGTGGAAGAAATTAACAAGTCTGCACAGAGCCCTGACCGCAACCCTATCCAACAGCTTTGGGATGAACTGGATCTCTGTCAGTGAGCCAGGCCTGATCACCCAACGTCAGTGTCCGACCTTGCTGATGCTCTTGTGGCTGAATGGGAGCAAATCCCTGCAGCCAAGTTCCAACTCCAGGTGGAAAGAATGAAACCAGGGATGGCTGTTATAGCAGCAGATTAATTCCCATGTTTTGGAATCACATATTCAACCATCACATGTGGTTTGATTTTCCAGGTGTTCACATAATTTTAAACATGTAAGAAACTCACTAAGTTACTTCACCTCTGGTGGTTTAGTGTCTCAGTTTGACAGCTTGCTGGTGGCGTTAAAAAGTTTTAAATATAAATGCAGAAACGGTTAATAAACACTACCATAATGTTTCAGGATCTGTCATTTTATTTTCTCTCTCTCTCTCCCTCTCTCTCTCTCTCTCTGTCCTTCCAACTCTCAATAACCTCCCAAAATTGCAGAACTACATACAGTCGGCTCAGAAAATAATTTCTGACGTAAAAGCTGCTGAATCTTTGGCTTCCTCCTCTGGCTGCTGCAAGACTCGGAGCTTCGCTTCAGTTTGGTTTGAAGTCAGCTTGGTGGGTTTATTTGTCTGATCTCTCAGGTGAGTTTTATCCACTTTTTTGTTACATATTTGTTCCACATCTATTGATCATAGATCAAAATTTGATGTCAATTACATTTACTTTCAGAAGAGAATCTGCTTTGTTAAGATGATCTCTTGCTTCTCCATTCATTATTATGATTGTGTATTTTTTTTCTTTATTAAAAGAGGACTTAAGTTGGAATATGTTGAACTATTTTCTGTCAGCAGATGACTCAGTTCCTCAGAGGCACTGTGGTAGATTTGAGCACTGGGGAATAAACCAGAAAATTGCCCGTTTCTGTCTTGCTTCTCTCCTCTATCTCCTCTCTCCTCCTTGTCGCCTCTTCTTCTCCACTTCCTCCATCTTCCTCTTCCTGCTGTCTCTCCTCTCTCCACTTTCCTTTTTTCTCCTTTCCTCTTTCCTCATCTGCTCTTTCCTCCTGTTCTATCATCAGTGGAAGAAATATTCAGATCCTTCACTTAAGTAAAAGTAGCAATAACACAGTGCAGACATACTCTGCTACATGCTTCAAAAACTTCCTTGAGTAAAAGTACATAAGTATTATCAGCTTAAAATATCAAAAGTAAAAGTACTCATTGTGCAGAAAACTGGTCCCTGTGTTTCACTATTATATCTGATGTTTCTGGATTAATATTCCTGCTACATTAATGTGTATGTTACATTTTACTGCTGTAGATGTTTAAGGTTGAGCTCATTTTAACTACTTTATATACTGTACAATTGGGTAGTTTATTCTACAGCAATGCTTCATGTTCAGATCAGATCACCATGTAGCATCACTGTCCCGTAAGAGCTCAGAAAAACAGCCGTTTTCAGCTTTTACATTTCTTCTAATCTTTCCTCGTCTCATCTCTTTTTTCCTTATCTTCTCTGCTCTTACCTTATCTCCCCTCTTCTCATCTCTCCCATTACCTTCCCCATCATTTCTATCCTCTCCTCTCATTTGTACTTTCTTCTTTCCTCCTTTCTTCATCTCCTTGTCTCCTCTCACCTTAACTTGTCTCCTGTTCTCCCTGTAAAGTTTGTCAATATGCTCCATCGTTGTTTTCTCGTGATCGGTGCCCTGCTCTCATTGGCCACACCCCTGCTGGTCGCCATGGAGACCTGCCCAGCAACAGGGATGCCCGGGATGCCAGGTATGTGCGTGCATGTTTGTATATGTGTATGTGCATTATCATTTTTTTGCTTTGTTTATTTATCTTTCTTTCCATCCTCAGGTATTCCTGGGCTGCCCGGCAGAGACGGTCGTGACGGAGATAAAGGACAGAAAGGAGAGCCAGGTATCCAACACACAGTCATACACAGAGCTAGTTAAGTTAGGATACTGATCCAACTAAAGTTTGCACAGATACTAGATGGAATCAGGTAAAGGAAAAGAAGGCTTTGTTTACAGCAAAAATAAACTTCTTTAGTAACCTGGAAATCTGAAGCTGCCAGTATGCTTCTTGAGAGCTGACTGTTTGATGATCAAACAGCAATTTTAACAGCAAACGTGTTGCATTTTGTGGCATTTATTCAAGGCACACACCAAGTAATGGGGCTTTTAGTTTTTGACATTTATTAAACTCACATCAAGATTTAAACCTCGAATTATATCTTCTAAAATGGATCTGAAGGTGGTTACTATTTTCTTTCTATACCCATTTCCTTCAGCAAATTCCCCCTAGAACAATAAACTCTCTTTTTTTTACATTTGTCTTGAGTAAATTAAACAAACAAGATATAACGTATTAATTACTGGGCTTTGGACAGAGCCAGGCTAGCTGTTGCCCACTGCTTTCAGTCTTGAAACCATGGCATGAATCCAGCTCCACATACAGACATGAGATTGACATTGATCTTCTATTCTAAAAAGAAAAGAGAACAAATAAGCCAATTTCCCAAAATGGTGAGCTACTTCTTAAAATTGTTGGACACAACGTTATTGCTATCCACAGGAACAGAGTGGCACGGCGGTCACGGCCCTCAGAAGGGGGAGAAGGGGGAGCCTGGGCTGATGGGATTCCCTGGTAAACGAGGTCAGAGCGGGGAAACTGGGAAAGCAGGGGATCCAGGGATTCCCGGAACTGTAGGAGAACCAGGAGAATCAGGGTATGTAATCAGACAAACCCTTTAGTAAGGCACAGGTGCTCTAACATTTTTATTTCATTACTGAATCCAAGGTGACCACAGCCAATAAACCTTAAAACATCTTACAACCACTATTCAAGTCAACAACAATTCCTCTAAAACTCAGCTGAGCATTAAGGCCGGATTACTGACTGGGCAAAACACACCCTCAAGGGGCTGATTATTCCAGATTTACTGTGTGGCAATAACTTTGCAGTAATCCATGCTTATATGGACCATTTTCTTAAATCACTTACCATTTCATTAATTAAGTTGAGAGACAACAGGGATTCAGTAGCGGCCCACAGTTCACTTTTTGCCCATGGGGCCACTTGGGTTAAACCAGCTCTGATCATCACTTTGTGTTGTTTCTGTGGCTGCAGAAGAGCTGGAGTCCAGCCGAAGGCAGCCTTCAGTGTGGCCAGAGGAACTAATGAATACCCAGATAAAGCCAGCGTCATTCGGTTCACCACCATCATCACAAACCTAAACGATGACTACGACACCACAACGGGACACTTCAGGTGAGTTAACCACCGGTTTACTCATCACATCTTACAGTAAAAGAATAAAACAAATTTTTTACTTTGAAGTGTATGATCATCATAAAACTTTGTTATTTTTGTTGAGGCTAAACTACGTTGGGATACGGTTAGATCAGTTGGTGGAGTACATGACTCATGTAGTAGGCAGAGGCCTTATAGCAGGGGCCAAGGTTCGAGTCCAGGCTATGGCCTTTTGCCGCATGTCGTCGGCCCTCTCTCACTCCCTCAATTGCTTTCTATTTCAATTTCCTACCTGGAATAAAGGTTTTTTAAAGCTAGGGTACGTGATGTGTTTCAGAAGCATTTTTTGTTAAATTTGTTGAAATCTCTTTATGTCCTGACAGCAATCAATAAATCAAATGCAGGCCTGTGATAAGCCCAGCTTTACCAATCTGTCTTCCTACCTGCACGCACTTTGTCCATGCACTCACTGTACAATGTGTTTTGAGGAGGCATAGCTTTGGAGGGAGGCCTGAGGGACCAGGGGTTGGAATTTTGTTGGTTGGATAATTTAAAAATCTGGCTGTCTCTTGCAAGTTTTTCCGTCAGCTACGCTTCAAGGTCAGACTGTATTATTTTGGATGGGGTCAGCATGTCTCTACTAACGTAAACAAGACTAAGAGTCTATAGCCATGCTAGGAACTCTGTGAGGCTATCCTTGAGCTAAATGCTAATGCAAGCTTGGCAACATGCTCACAATGACAATGTTTACATGTTGATGTTAATTGGGTATAATGTTTACCATGTTAATAATCTTAGTTTAGCATGTTAATATGCTGACACTTGCTAATTAGCACTAAATACAAAGTTAATTTTTAGTAGGTATTAGATCATAAATTGATATACTGACTCGATTATGGCTCTAGTGGAAAAATCAAGTTATTAAATTAGAGTAATTATGTGCGCATCCACAAAACCCCAGTGGGAGAGATGCTGGATATAAAAACTGTTTAAAATTGCAATTCAAGAAGTAACACTGGAATCACAGCTTTACCAACGTTTCGACAAACTACAAGTTTGTTTTAACATTTACTATCCCGTTTCAATTGATTAATTAAGTTTTTGTGTTGTAGATGTCGGGTCCCAGGAACCTACTACTTTGTGTTCCACGCGTCCTTAGAGGACCGACTGTGTGTGCTGATGAAGCTGGACAATGAACTGCTGACATCGTTCTGCGATCATCGCCGGACCAGGAGACAGGTACGAGTATAAAATAATACTGCTGATGTATTATTGTGCCACCAAATGCCAATGATGTCATAATTCAAGTGTGTATTTGCCTACTCAGAGACTGCTGATCAGATTTAACTATCTTCTGTGGCTAACCCTGGAACAATGACTGTGCATTGTCCCTTTTAAATACACACATAAAAATATAAATATATAAATAAATAAATTGATTGATTGATTTGATTTTAACCTTCGTTGGATAAATAAATAAAATAATACTAAGCTGTTTATGATATTATATTAATATTAAATCTGTTGAGTCAGGAAAATCAAAAACAAGCATGGATCAGCCTGTTAATGAAATTATAGTTTTGATAGTATATAACATTGTCTGCAAAAAGATGCACCCTCAATTTACATTTTGACCGGTACCGATTCCAGGTGACAGCGGGAAGCCTGGCCGTCTACCTGTCGAGGGATCAAGAGGTTTGGCTGGAGACTAAAGACTACAGAGGGATGAGAGGAAAACCAGCAGGTTACAGCATCTTCTCCGGCTTCCTGCTGCACCCTCACTGACCTACAGGACGGGTCTTTTTCCTCACCTTTACTAAACAATTTTACAGTCCCAGCCTGAAACTAAAGGCAGAATTATGTCTTCACTTCTTTCCCACTGACCCTTTAACCTTTTATACAAACAATACAAACTAAAACAACAGGCTAGAAAAGTCCATGTAAGATGCGCAAACAGATTTGTGTCAACTAAAACAATACATTTAAAAGCAAACACAATGACAAAGAATGCTAATTTCCAGATCTGTTGATTCATTCATGTAAATTCACCAACAGCCATCAGCTCTGGCGATTTCAAGTCCTTTCAGTAGATTGTTGGTGGAACAGAAAGCATATTTAAAAGCTTTCAAGCCCAACTCCTTGCTAACTCTGAGAACTGAGAACTGTAGAACATCGTGAGAATGCAGTCCATTAGTTAAATTTTAATTTGTATGTATACAGGAAACAGAGATCTTCTCTCATAATTAGGACTTACAATCTCATAATATCCAGATGAGGTGTTAAAAGCTGATAGCTGTTTCCAAACATGACAATACCATAGTACTTAGATTGGGTCAAAAAGTTTGAAAGCTGTGATTTTGTTGTATGATGTGTGAACCATCAGATTCTGTGGCACTTGGGGGTCAACTGTACAAAAAAGACTAAAATGCCGACTAAACATTGTCAGGTGAGGTGTTAGTGCTCCACAGATAACCCTTTACACCAAGGTGTGTCCTATGACAGCTAACAAAATATCCGTCAAAATTTGTGACCTTGTCTAAATACAACGTGGGCACACCATTATACAGATGACACAGTCTTGTATACATTGGAATCCATCCTTAGACATCAGTGCATAATCTCAAGCAGACAAATTGTACTCTAAAACCCATTATTCCAGTTTGTATCTCCCTGCCATATACTTAATAGTACTGACATTTAACAGTCCCATCTTATAAATACATGGGAATTTGCATGGGAGACACTAATCTCACATTTAAACAGCACATAGAGCAGCTGGTACTGCAACCAAAGATAAAAAGGGGTTTCTCATATCGGAATAAAGCATGTGTCTGTCTTGTCAGAAAAAATTATTGTACAGTCAACCGTCATGACAGGACCCAATTTCATCTGTTCATTTATCTTCAATGTGTGTCAGTAAGCAGACCATTTAAGCAGGAAAACCCAATATACCTAAATAAAAAGCTGGAAAAACAATGCTTTGTATTTGTGTTTTATTTCTCCTTTTCTATTATTTGTGCATGCCATATTTTAATGTCTTCTAAGGCTAATCATAACACAGAGAGCTACTTTGAAGAGTGTTTTAATTTAATTTAAAATAATAAAATGTGCATCTCCATGCGCTGTTTAAAGACAGCTGAGGGTAATTGTTTTATAAAAAAATTTGAATAACAAAACAACTTTAACCTTTTATCCCTTTTCTTGCTAAGTTTGTTGGTTTGGTATCAGTTTCAGCTCCAAAGGTGTAAAGAGAGCAAACAGTAAACATTGAGGCCATTAAAATTACATTGGATGACATACATACATTGTTTCCAGAGAAGGCAAAATGGGAAGGGCAGACTCTAACAATGAAACCTACTATATAGAGAGGAAATTACAAAATGTAAATCCATAATTGCATAAAAAAAATACAGACAATAAAAATGGGGTTTAATTTCATGAAAATCTTAAGGATCATAACTTTAACTCACTGAGATGGCTGAAAATAGTTGGCTGCGTTACCTAATTAGGCATGACAACATGATTCAGAACTACACCAGCAATGACCCCAAAACACAAGTAATCATTGGGCAACTTTTGCATGTAATGGGTTGATATAATGGACGACAAAAACAAGGTGGACAAAACAAAGGAAAGATCGAAACATGCAGAAAATATGACAAGAAGAAAAATTACTTCATATATTCAAAGTTTTCACACCATTTTTTACAATTTTAAACACAAAGGGCCAAAATACTAACATGCACACTCACAGGCCTGTAAACACGCAACTGGGAGATGAATGTTAGAGTTATGGGGCTGCAACATAGCGGTGCCCCTGGAGTGTTTAGCAGCTCAGTACCTTGCTCAAGGGCACCTTTGGCAGAGGCCAGGAGGTGAACTGGCACCTCTCCAGTTACCAGTCCACACTTCATACCCTGGTCTGTGCTGGATTTGAACCCGTCCACCACTCATAATGAGAGAAACGGAAAGAGGATCTGAGAAAGACAAACTGGCACATTTCACAGGATGTAATTATTAAAAATATACATCAGCTCTTTGCTGATAGATACTGTTGAGGAAATTAAATATTTTGTGGAACAGATACTGACATCCAGACTGGGGTTGGGAGCCTCAGCAAAACACTGCCAGGAAACCAGTCTGCGTTTGGCACAAACAAAGAAGAAGTTCAGTGAAAAACAGAACAAAATGTTAATTTGGCGGAAATATTTTTTTTATTAAATACATTTAACGATGCTTCATCATCAGTTCTTCATCAGGTGGTGTTTTTCCTGACTTCTTGTTCAGCTGTTTCACTTCCTCTGGAGGGTGATTTGCTGTGCCACATAAATGCAGCTTAATTATTACAAATTTACAGTGAACGTTATCAAACTCACAGGGATGAAGCTGGTAACATTGTCGAGTAGAGTGCAAAGATCCAAGAAATACGAAAAAAAGATGTGAACAAGAACAGAACAAACAGGAGGAATGCAAAAGGATTAAAACGTGCAGGAAATCTATCAGTGGTCAGTGGATGAACGTAATTAAGTTATATATTGAAAATAAACCTACTTTCAAACCTTCAAAAACAATAATAAGATCAATACAGGATGGTTCAAGGTACAGGGCCATGCATGCGTCCTGGCTTCAAAACGTCACTTAAGTAAAAGTATCAGCAAAATGTACTTAAAATATTGAAGGTAAAAGTACTCATAATGCAAAAGAAAAGAAAGAAAAATTGCCCCTGTGAGTGTTGTCAATGTTGCCCCAGTGTTTATCAATGATCAGGCTGTTCAGGTTGTACATCAGTACAAATATCTGGGCACAGTGACTGACGGCTACTGACTTTTGAGCATCAAGTGGATGTGTGTAAGAAAGCACATTAGCGGAATTTCTTCGAAAACTTTGTGGTTTTAATGTGGTTAAATACTTGAAAATGTTTTATTCTTGTTTCGGTTCTTTCGTTTGCTTTTATCAGTTGGTGTGGATCACTTTCAGTAAAGAACAGGAACAGACTACTGTGCGTTGTGAAAGTCTGCACTAAGATTGCAGGGACAACACTTAATGACCTTCCCCACCTTTAAAAGGTCAGGGCTATGGACAAAGCCCAGAAAGTTCAGGCCGATCCAAACCACACTGTGTGCAGGGAATTCTTACTGCTTCCATCTGGTCACAGGTACAATGTGCCAAGAAGCAGAACCAATATATTTAGGCACTCTTTTGTCCCTGCTGCCATTAGTTTCTTAGATAACTCACTGTGATTTACATTGTATGCATTACTTTTAATAGATGGATATTTTTTTATTATTATTATTGTAGTATTTATTCCATCAGATTTTATTATTATTGTTACTGCTTCTGTGAATGTTTGTGTGTTTCATAGTTTTACTGTTGTGAGTCATGGGGCTACTGCTCTCTCTGGCAAAACAAAGAATTCCTTACCTTACTTTTCTAAATTATTTCATTTGTTAATTATTGCAAATGCATCAATGTTTGATTAGCATTTTACTGCTGTAGTTAATCGAGGTGGATCAAATTGTTTAAATACTGTTTCTGTAGTTCAATGTACAGCTTTGCATATTGTTATACAAAATCTTTTATCTACAAAGTAACTACTAACTTCAGATGTCTTATAAATGTATTGTAGTTAACAGTACAACATTTGGATGAAATGAAACATGAAATTAAAATACTCAAGTACAAGTACCTCAATTTTGTACTTAACTACAGTACATGATAATATGTACTTAATTCAAGCTCAACAGCTCCCTCAGTCAGTATTATCCATAAAAAGATTTAAATGAACACCAATAGAGGGGCGATCATGCACCGTTTCACTTCCTGTTTTGTCCTTACTGAGCTGCTGTCACTCTGAAGCAGGACAGCTCTTCACCGCCGCTCTCCATCAGCTTATCACTCCACCACAAGACAAGTTACTGCGTTACCTGCAAATGGTGAGAATTTTGTGTCCTACAAAACCAAAGAACAGGCAGAAGAAAAATGTGTTTATAGACAGAGAGAGAGATGAAATCACTTATTCAGACAGAAGCATTGTTGATACAGAAGTGGAGGGTTTCATAGCATTTCTTGCCTAACATTTGCTGTCTGCGTGTCCTTAATATGGTTAAATGTAAACTATAAAATGTGTGATCTCTTAAGTTCAAAATTGTATAAACTGGATAATGGGCTAAAACATTCAAAATAATAAGTAGAGTACAGTCCTATGAGAACCTGAACCTCCAGAACATTAACACTTAAGGAACATCAGCTTGTTTTATGTGGGTTTCACTGATCAAATTTCTATTTTAATATTTTTTTAAAGCTTGTGGAGAGCTGGTCCCCACGGTGCAAAACGTGCCATTAAGATTTGGTGTTAATGAAGGGTATGATTAGGGTTTGTGCTTAAATATCTACTGGGCATGATATAAGTTTAAGAAAAGTCTCCAAGGAATTAGTAAAAGTCAATGCATTGTCAAAACTAGTTACATCTCTGTGTCTGTGTGTGTTGCTCCAGGCCCCCCGGTGGCTGAGCTGCAGTACTGCAGTATTTCTGCTCCTGGTTCAGGTTTGTCCGGCCTTCACACAGTCCTGTGGAACCCCTGGGATTCCCGGGATACCAGGCACCCATGGGCCCAATGGCGTAGACGGTCTCAAGGGAGAAAAGGGAGACCCCGGTGAGCTCATGCTGGTCATGAAGACATCAGACACATTTTACACCTTGTGTTCACATGTTTTTCTTCATGTTGTCAATATTTCTGATTTGAGAAAGTGTAATTGTAAAACAAATCTGGCTGTAACATGTGTCAGTGCATGTGGCAGTTGTTGATTAAACTTAATGTGTTGAGTTTATTAAACTTGTTTCCTCAAGTTCAGCTGAGCTCATCTGATACATTTTCACAACTCATGAGCCTTCTTTGAACAAATTGCTCAAGTTTAGTGCTTTTAACTCACATTTTTAGTGCAGTGGGGGAACTTTTAAAACTGAAAATAATTTGCAATTTGATGGGAGGTTTAGTTATATTAACTAAGTAGATTCATTTGTTGTTGAAAACAAGATTATTTTAAAGGATTTCTTAGCATTGTGAGACTGGAAATTAGCGCTATTTTCTCATGCATTACTGCACTTACATTAAAAAAAATCTAGCACATTAATCCCATGATCACTAGTGAACTCTGAGAGCTGCAGCTTAAGAAAACACAGCAAATAGATAATAAACATATGCAAATTAAGAAAATATGGTAACCTTGTGTTGCTTGTATCTGTTTGTGTTTTCTATATTTGAAGCATTTTGTTTTGATGCAATGTGTTGTGAAATTGTCATGATATTGGTGTTTTGAGTATGTGTTATGGGTTTTTTGTTGCATTGAGACAGCTAGATGCAAGTGTTTTATTATAGTTTTTATTATAGTTTTTTTTTTTGGTAGATTTTTACCTTACAGTTAAAATGAAACACTTATATTTTATCTTGGTGTCAGTTCACACTGACAACCATGTATTTTTCTGTATGAGCAGGTGAGGCAGGTCAGCCTGTCAGGGGCAAGAAGGGGGAGCCAGGTCTGCGGGGGCCCCCAGGACGGCCTGGGCTGAAGGGGGACGTGGGTCTCCCAGGGCCTCCCGGTAATCCAGGCAGGCCAGGGGAGAAGGGACAACCTTTCAATCCTTCCAACGCTCAGAAATCCTACTTCTCCTACAAACGAGTATTATTATATGCACCAGACGTCGACACTGACATCGAATTCAACAGGTCAGTGCTTTGAAGGTTTAAACCAAGTTTTTAGAAATAAAGTCGCTGAGGTCCTTAGAAAAAGTAGGCTGCGGACCAAACCACTGTGATATGAGGGGGGAGGACATAATTGCCTAAATTTTACACCCTTGGTTTAAGGTCACAGAAAGAGCAGGAGTAGTATTTAATGTGATGTATTTCCTGTTAAAACAATTATAATATAATTAATTAGTAATTATTTAAAACTGCAAACTAATGATATAGGGTACTTAAACATAGGGTGATTGAATAAGAGAGGTTGAAGGGCAAATATCTCTGATGGAATTATAATTTGTAGCCGAGATGTCGCCATTAAAGTGCCTGAAATTCTGAACATTGCGACAACTGTAAGATTTTGATTCAAATACAGCAGAAATTTTTGGTGGGCGCGTGGAGGTTCGTGACAGCGTCTTGATCCAACCCTGCCCACCTGAAACTAGTGAGAAGAGCTCAGACAAAAACACAAAATCTTTCAATTGACAGAAACTGTGTTTTTGTGTAGGACCCTGTCAATCACAGTAGTTTGCAGAATAAGAAAATAGGTTGTCAGGTTCTTTAAACATACATTGCTTTTAGAAACAAGCATAGACAACAAACTTAGACCTAAAAAAAATATAAGCAAGACATTTATTGTTGAAATGATCAATAATGTATGCAAGCAAGTTGCAAAAATCTTTCTTCTTTTATGATTTCACTTTTACTTAAATAATTAAACTTTTTTTCACAAAATAGTGCCGTAACCTTAGACACTATTAAAATAAAGCAAATCCTTGTTAGCAGGTATAATATTTCAACCATGTTCACCAGCTAAGTTTAGCGTTACATCTGAGGCTAATGGGAAAGTCATTAGTTTTGCAAGTAGTTGGTCACAATACTTGAGAATTCACTATTCTCTATTTCAGTGCTGTTCATACTGTGATATTGTCCTATTGTATATACTGGATACCAAATCCACCTACTTCAAGTACACAAGTACTTTATTCCAGCATCCTTTGCACTGTGCTCCTTCACACTGTGTCAAATTCCTCGTATGTGTACACATACCTGGCAATAAAGCTATAATAAAGTATTGGACAAATTGAAATAGTGACGAGAGAATGGCACTAGATGACAAGTCAGAGGAGAATTAAGCTATATTTCATCTTGAGGGGGACGTGGACATCTACACCAAATGTCAAGGCAATTCATCCAAGAACGTATATGTTGAGACATTTAACAGCTACAAATGTCAGCCTCACAGTGGTGCTAGAAGAAAATTCTGAAAAGTTTTGATGATGGATGTAGACAATCACCATCAAATAATCAATAAAAACTGAAATGTTTGTGTAAACTTCACACAGACCAATTCAGCCGGATCTGGATCGACAGTTTCAAGGAGAACTGCTGACAAACGGATCGTTCACAAGTGTCATCAAAGGCATCTATTTCTTCAGTTACCACGTTTCAGTGAGGAGCAAAGTGAGTGTGAAGAGTTTGTTTTCATAAAACTGTGTCTTTCGAGCTTGTCTCTCACCTTCTTCTTCTCAGGATTTATTTTGTCTCCAACAGTCGGATTTAATCATTTAACCAGTGGTCAATTTTGAGCTACTTCTGCTACATTTAAGTATTTCCATTTTCTTCTAGGCAAATACTGTACTTTTCACTACACTGCATTTATCTGACAGTTGCAGTCAGTATTTACTTTAAAGATTAAGACTTTTAAGAAGATAATTTCCCTGCATGGTTGTTTATGTTACATTTATATTATATTATGTTATGTTATGTTATGTTATAAAATATAATGCATTAAACTGGTTACACTGTTAAAATACTGCGTTCGTCAACATGAACACTAATAATCCAATAACATGACATTTAGAAACTGACCATTATGCATAATGAAACTTTTACTTTTGATAGTTTTACTTAAATACATACAGCTGATAATACTCCTTTATTTTTACATCAGTACATTTTTGAATACAAAAATTTGAGTATTTTAACAATGACCTGGGGTTTTGCTGAATCATCAAATGTTGATGTTTTGGTTTAGAAAAGTGTCGGTTAAAAGCAATCTACATGTCCTGTCATTTTGAGTATAGGTAAGACATTGAACTGTGGATATTTGTGCTTATGACTGTATTTGTATGATCGTAGGTGTGTCTGAAACTGGTGAAGGGCAGCGACAGTCTCATTACGCTGTGTGACTCATCTGAAGGTTTCCTGGTCACCTCCGGCTCAGCGGTCATAGAGCTGGAGGTCGGAGACACAGTCTCACTGCAAGCAACCGTTGCCGGCCACGCCTTGACGAGCCAGGCCAGCACCAGTCACACCTTCACCGGCTTCCTGATCTTCCCCACCGCCTAGAGCCTCTGATCCATAAAATCATTGTTATTAACATCACAGACATTTTGGGGACATTTACACCAATTAAATGAAATATGTATTTTCTGTAATAGTACAGTGTCCAGCAGAGTTAATAATAATACTGGCTCAATAGTGGCACTGCTGTCATATCAGTGTTTTTGCACCTTTTAGCCCATTAACTATAAATAGTGTATATTAAAGTGAGTGGTTTTTGGTTTCAATAGATCACTCACAGGGCAAAGTTAACCAACTTGATTCAATTGTTTTAATGAATCATTAATGTAGCAAATAAGTCATTTCATCCTCTAATAAACCCTGAAAGACATTTCCAGCATATCATAAATTGATCTTGTTTTATCTGTGTTTCCGAAGCCTGATATATCTCTTCTTCCTCTGTGCCACAGAGCTCCATTGTTGTCCAAAAACTATTAAAATACACCAATGAGCCACACTGCTGCATTGGTTGACATGTTCCTTCATTACCATGAACACACACTGTAGTTCTGTTGCTTTTTTTGACTCAATCATACACACACTGCCACAAATATTCACCCGAGCACCAAGAATGTATTAATCCCTTTCTGAAAATAGTCCCCATCAAATGCACCATTTCTTCTTGTAGAGACATATTGTGAGTTGTTCGTGAAGATTTACTTCAGAATGTATTGAGAGATGTAGTAACACATTGTTCTGAATTTGATCTCGTTATGAGATTTGTTCACAAATCCTTAACTTTTAACCCTCTGTGGATATGTAAACACACATGGGACCAAAATAAAGATCGGCTTGTTTACACTGTTTGGAGGAAGCATAGCATAATGACTCTGACTGATTAGAAATAAAATATTTAATGCTGTACTATGTAACATTTCCTCCAGTGCCTCACTATTTGAAAACACTGAGGTATCAAATGTACATCTTTTTGACTGATACCAGGCCAGGAGTTCATTAATTATCCATCATACAGTATCAGGTTGGTAGACACTTCACCTTACAGTATGGATGGTAAACAGGAAGCAGAGGATTTATCTTTTTTTCCTCCCATTATCATAATTTCCACAATCAATCTGAAAGGGCAACCCTATCATACAAATGTGTTGCTGCATCAAATTTGTTTTACCTGACAAATCATTGCTCTTTCAGTTGTTGTCTAACATCTGACACTAGTGTTTTTGTGTGCGGGATGAAGTCAAAATCAAATTACTCAAACAGAAAATAATGAGCTTAGAAAAATTTGAAAGCTTGGTATAACAAAAACTTCTGTATTCAGTAGTTTCAATGGAAAGTACCGAGGATAATTGTCATGATCATAACCCAAAATGGTTTATAATACCCCTAAATTCCCAAATGACAAGAGCTGGGAGGACACTTTGGGATTTGTTAGCACTATTGGGCATTAAAACAAGTGTGTCAGGAATAGTGTTTATCACATCAAAGCTTGATTGCTGCACTCTCATTAGAGAGCGACCTCTGGTGTCTGGTGTCTGAAGGCTGAACGTCAGCCCAGTGTGTCGGTAGCCGATGGGCTGTTGAACACACCATTCCTGGCATAGAAAGTGTTCTTCACCACCGAGGATTTGGCGCGGGACGGAGTTCTGTAATCCAGAGTGTAGTCACCTGTGGATCCAGACAGACGCCATTAATCAGGAGGACAAACTGAGCTAGAACAAAGAGAATATAATGGTGGTGATGGTGGTCGCTTGCTTTATACACAGATACAAATTCACACACAAGTTCAATCTAGAAGAGTTAAAATTAAACAGATATAAATTACATTTGGACAGTGTCATCCACAATTAGTTGCAAGAAGCAGTCTGAAGATTGTTCCTAATCAGAAAAATAACAGCATTGATTGCTTGATAAGACAATTTTGTTGATCCCCTGACTCTTCCTCTAGCGCCACCATGAGGTTCACATTTTTGTTCTTGACTGAATATGTCTCAAGAAGTGCGTAGGACAACAACATGCACCGCCTACACACTCGACACAAGTGGCATAAGGACGCCACGTTTGGAGCGCAGCACCCAGAGACACTGACTGTGTTTGAAACATAGATTGTAAATAAAAAGGTTTGAAACTGGTAAAGCTGCTGTCTAACAGGGCGGCGTGGCATCGAGTGCTGTTCCAAACAGATCTAAAGATCTTTTCCTGTCTCATAAGATGCCTTAAAAACTGACTGTTATAGGGGCAGTTTTTGATGCTGACTCGATGCTGACTATTACCCATAAATCTGTTCGCCAGCGGTAGCTCAGAAAAATGGAGAAGATGGCAGTCAAACAAGCCGAAATTTGTCTACAAATATCAAATTTTAAAAGTATTTTTTGCTTTTTGAAATGTTAGCGCGAACTGAACACTGAACTATCCTGTTAGCCTGTGACTGTAACTTACAAAGTTTGTTTAGCATGATTTCTGAGGCGTCTGTTATCCATTTGCCTTTTCAATAGCTAGCTAGCTGAAGCTAAGGCTAGTGACTGACAGCCAGAAGAGACGCAAGATGGCGTGCTGACATCACATGTTGCTGAAAATACTGCCCTAAAAGGCTGTTCAAAACCATTGTTCATAGACATGCCTTCACTCGAAAGTAATGCCTTCTGAGGCACCTGTCTATTACGGCAGAGGGGCAGTAAGGCGACAAGGCAACTGCCTTCTGTTTCGAACACAGCCACTATGGCTGCGTTCCATTCGAAGTTGGAGGTCAGAATTTCCCTGACCTCAAAACGTTCCAGGTGCACGACGGCAAACGTAAACAAAAACATGGCTGATCGTAACAAATTTATGTTTCTTTGCCATGTCCACGTTCAATTGAACTGCCAGCAGTTTTCTTGCTGTTAATTAAAAACACGGCTTTTTTATTGAAAATGAGTGACATTATAAACATACATGTCCGTAACCTGCAAAAGTCAGTAAATGTATATTTATTTTATAATGTTGTATATTTTCTAATGGTTTCACATTTGTTTAACATTTTCCAGAATAATGTTTGTGCAAAGATGACTTTCACAGACTGTTACCATAACCAGCTACCTAATAATATTGGTGACGATCGACGATCAATTTACAAGCAGAACAGGTTTAACTATATGACAGTATGTATGTATTTTAATTTAATTAATTTATACAGGCAAAGACTTTGCCTTTTTAGTTGATGGTGTACCATTTACAGTATGCGCTTCCATGGGTGCTGCCATTGTTGTGTAACGTCAGACAGGAGCTTCTTTATGATGTCAGGGTAGATGGATTTGTCTTTGAGTGTACTTTTTCTAGTGAGAGGTTGTAAATGTTCGAGTTCCGAGTTGTTTCAAATGCATCATATGTCGGGCATAAACAGGTAGAAGTGAAGCAGTCAGTGTCTCTAACTTACCCAGCCTCCACCCGTACTCCCAGGACGAGAGCAAAGGATAGTCAAACTTCTCCTCAGGTCTAATCCGGCCACGTCTTTGCAGGTATAGATTCCGTCCTTTGCCCTGCAGGTGACATTAAGTTTAAAATTACCTATAAATTTTAGAAACATTTGGCATAAATACAGGACTACTGACTAATCAATCATGACATTGCTCCCTGTGTTTAATAGTCAGTTAATTGAAAGTAAAATCTTTTTGTTAGTCATCAAACTAACAATAGAAGAGGCTTTTGTTTAATATATAATATTACTGTTTAATATATAATAATACTACTAGAATTAAGATAAAACAAGTTTTAATTTCAAGCTGCAAGTAAAAAAAAACTAGAAAATCCGACTTCTACAATCAACTGTGCACTGGTACTTCAGTCTACTGGAAGTATGTTACATGTTTAACCAAAAGTGATTCGTACATGGTGAGAAGAGTCCTGATAGAGTGCATGTCTGGTCTGGGGAGAAACTGGCCTCATTTGGGGGGGCACACTGAGCCGCTCCTCTCCTTTCAAAGAGAACACTGGGCGAGGAGGAGGTGGAGGAGCAGGAAGAAGAAGGTCGCTCTGCTTCTCAGTTGTCCTTGTAACAGGAGGCAGTACAGCCCTGATGGGTGGAGCATAAATGAGTCATGGTTTTCTGGTGTTTTTGTGGTTCACTTTCTGTCTTTGTGGTTTCTCGTTCTCTGTTTTAAATGCTTTTGCTCTGTCATTTCTTAATAATTTTCCCCATGTTTTCTGTTTTACATTGGTATTTCCCTCTTCTGCAGTTTCTGGTCACTTCCCTTCCTCTATCATGGTTTCCTGCTAGTTTGATTATTTGCTCCTCCCTGGTTAGTTTCACCTGTGCCTTGTTAATCACCTCCCTCTTGTGTAATGACGTCCGTGTCTTTCCACCGGTTAGTGTTGACTCGTCTTCATGAGTTTGTTGACTATCCATGCCTGGCTTCAGTGTTTCCTACCTGTGTTTCTGGATGTCTTTGTGGATTATTGGATTTTGGATTGTAGCCTGTGTCATTTGGATTTTGTTTGCTTTATGTTTGGGCTACCTCCCTGTTTTGGACACTTGTCTTCCTCTTCACTGCGTCAGCATGTTGATTTTTGTTGTTTCTTAATAAACACTATAAACTGCATCTGCTCCTCCTGCATGTAGGCTACTGCAATTGGTGGGACCAAATCCCAGGTGTTTTCTAGTGTCTGCGCTTGGAAAAACGTGAAAAAATGGCTATATATTATATATATATAATATAGCACTTTTATCCAAAGAGCTTTACAAGGTTTTTGATGCTCATTCACACACACTCACACAGAGATGGGTGCTGTCCAACCATCAGGAGCAATTTGGGGTTCAGTGCCATGCCTAAGGACACTTCTCCACATGGATAGGAGGAGGTGGGGATTAAACCGGGGATTGAAGTCTTTACAAATAACACTAAAGCTCATTAAACAGTACAGATATGAATGAATTCACTCCTCATTGATGCCAATGTTCTATTTTCATTACCAACTCAAAAATCATAAATTTTATTGCTTGTTCTTTAAAATCTTTCTGTCCGTATGGCACATCTGCTGTGTGCTGTGGGCATTAGGTGACACACGTCAAATAATGCTACGTGATGCGCCCGATGTTTGTTGCAGTTAAGAGGGTGACTCTTACTGTACCTTCGCTTGACCATACTACTTTAACTCAATCTACAGAAAACATAATTTTTTTTGGACAAATAAAATTTGGTACAACAAACACATTGGATTAAGGCTGATACCAGATCTGCAGTTTTACATGAAAACCCCTCCGACAGACAGGTTTAATGTGAATAAAGCAACTCACCGGGGGTCAGCAGGCAGATGGGGCAGCTGTGTTGGCTCTGTGTCGTTTCGGGGATTGTAGCAGGATGGGTAAAGTTTAGCATAGCGGTCCTTCCAGGCCAAGCGGGTGAACATCTCCTTCTGGATCTGCTCTCGATAGCAGTTCTGGTTCTGGGTCGTCAGCAGGCCGCGCATCTCCAGTCAGAAGGCCTAATTTAGCAACTGGTTTATACCATTTTGACACAGTTTCAAATTAACTAAATGTTAAATTTAAATAGTATTATTAATGCAAAGTACCTGAAACCAGGTTCAACCTGCCTCACAAATTTGCAGTGGGAACAAATTTATCAGGGGCCCCTGGTTCCCGGATGTAAAAGTCACAATTCATTTTCTCAATTACATTCTTAGCTGAATCATCAGTACAAACGATTAACATAAAAACTGAAGAGAAGTCAATAACAACTCCCATGGTGCACTTGGGTAAGAAACATCCCTAACCCTAACTGTGGGAGAAAAATAAAAATGACAATGTAAAGGAAACTGATCACAATCTGCATCTTAAATGAAATCACCCTGTGTTTTGTTCTGCACATTCAAAATCTATCCCACATATAATATACATATAATATGATAAACTTGTAATTTTAAAAGAAATCTACTGCATTATTTCTCTGCTGGTAGTATCCCTTTCAGAAAAAGTGACAGACACAGAAAGAAACCCATTTGAGTTTGTAGGCTACTGGATGAGAAGTGCCGCTCTTCATTGGAGGTGGAAAACTGAAAATCTCTACCACATTTTTCTCCCTTGCCACACTTCTGGAAAAAACATTTATTCTCAGAAACACAGTTGAAATAATTGAAACTGCTAGACATAACACAAAACTATAGGGCCTTTAAATTATCTGAGAGACTCCTGTGTTTGATGTTTACTAACCTTGAGGACATTATTTAAAATGTACAGCAGCATCTGACTTTGACAAAGGATAATCTTGTTCGCATACCATCTCATACCAACATCAGTGTTTGTCTCTTTAAACATTTACCTCGATAGAACAATTTTAGTTGTCTTATATTAGCCAAACAGGTGGCAGATCAGAAAATGAATAATGAATCTGTCATGGTTTTAAAAGACAATAGATACTGTCCTGCCAGTAGGGGTGTCAGATCAGAACACACTCACGTCAATGTAAATCTCGTACTTGTATAGCGCTTTCCTAGTATTTTCGACCACTCACTACATTCATTCACTGAGCCTAAGTGCTCAAACAGAAACTAACATTCACACACATTCATACACTGGCTGAACGGCCGCCAGGGGCAATTCAGGGTTCAGTATCTTGCCCAAGGACACCTCCTGAGCCACAGCCACCCAATGTAAAATATATAAATAATTTAGATACAACTTATAATGAGTAATTCAGGGTTTTTTTTGTCCTTTAGGTTGGATTACTTGTAATTAAAAATAATCTAAAATTTTGGTCAGATTAAACTGTCAAACGTCCATGTAGAGATCCCTTTCATGTACTGGATGAGTTTCCGTCTTCATCACATCTGATCCTTTTGTTTCTAGTTTGAAACATCTCAAAAACACTGATACTGATAATGGATTTGAATAGTAAAATTCTAGCCGTTGTTTATAAAGTTGTAGCAACGAAAGAAAATGTGTGACAAAAAGATCTCGATTTACTTTATTACTGTAACTTCATTTTTTCTAAAAAATGTCTTGTAAATCACAACACCACCATAACCAGCACAATAAATACAAACTGAAGACTTTCACGAGCAAAGGAACAAATAAGTAAAAAATCAAAGACTTTGAAGTTGTCCTTTACATCATTACTTAGCATTTAACAAGCTGCATGCCATTATTTAGATGGTGCTACAGTGCTGAAATCCCATGATGAAATGATTGTATTAGATAAAAATCTTAATTTACCTTTGTTTGCCTGCTGCAGAGCTGTGCAGGATCAGCTTCTCACTGTGGAAATGAGATGTGGATCAGATAACACAGGGAAACATGAGACATGCACACACATACACACACATGCTTAAAGCCTTTGCCCCAGTGGTGATTATGTGATGTCATCACATTAATTGTTTTTTTTTTAATCAGTTACTAATGCCATCACAAGGCCAAACAGATTAGAGTTAGGAGAGCACCATATAAGTACTTGTATTAGTATTTTTATTTATAAGCCTAATAGTATTGTAAAAAATCCTAGAGGAAACATTGCCATTGCCCGCCTCTTATGGTTCATTGCAGCAGGCTCAATGACATTTGTTGGCAGAAATAAAGACATTTTAACTCTGGACTGGAATCACATGGATTTGAAGATGGCTACTTCAACAAAATCAATGGAAAATGAGCCTAAATAATGGGTTACAAACGAAAAGGGTACAGTTCCTTTTCAATTAACATAATCAATTGCAGGCTGTTGCTTTATAGACATTAACCTGCCAGTTTGTTGACACTTGTTCTTTTCGGCAAGTGGGAGATATTTGTCTGACTCAGAATTGCTTGGCTCATGTGAACATTTTTTTCCACCTGGCTGCTCTGTCTGCGCGATATAATATACAACATGATATGTGGCATATAGAAAGACAAAATCCTGTTATCATCTGAGAGCATTCACAAATTATTTCATTGCTAGCCCTGAAATCACAGAAATGAAATGAGAAGTATCTTAAATTACATTGCAGTGTTAATAAACACAATGCACAGATACAGTAAGTAACCATTCAAAATGCTGTAGATGGACTCTCTAACTCTACTTCTTAAAAAGAAACCAAACTCTCACCAAAACACATCATCCTTGAGGCTTAACTACAGAGAGAGCATTTCCTTCCAATTTGCAAAGCAGGTTGTATTTAATATTTTTAAACCTGTTTTCTATGTTAGCTGCGTTTGTATTACTTCCATTGACTGTCAATCAGTGAAACACGTGAAAACACTGAAAGGACTGTGTAACACATCGTCACCACGCTTGTGCACATGCATGTCAATTGTTATTTAGTGCGTACCACAACAAACAATGTATTGGCTGATGTTGTAATTCCCTAATAATGCCTTGATGAAGACCAATATTTTACTGAAAAGCCCCTTTTATTGAACTCTGAATTAACAATAGGCTATGCCTTGAAAGTATTAAATTCTCTGAATTATTTTTAATTTTGTAGTCTGGAGAAATACATAACCATAATGCCCTGAAATTATAAATCACTATTTCCTTATTGTTTATAATAGAGTACCTACATCTGTCAAATCATTCTTTTATAAATTTAAACTCACATACAACTGAACTTAATGGGCCAATGGACCTTATACTCATCTGCAACACACATGAATGAAAATATAATGTGTGAGTTAGTGAATAAATTAGTGTCAGTGAAAGGTTAGTGAAAATAATGTGTGTGTTAGTGTATACATTTCCAGGCTTATTTATATTAATTTACTTTTCCTTCCCTTAAGGCAAGACACCACAGTCCAAAATTATGATTTTGCTTTAATCTGTCTATTTTCTAGTATTCTAAGTATTATTACCACACTTTTATAAAATGTACAAAACAACCTTGAATAATATAACCATTATTTTGTGTCTATTTTACACAAAGTTCGTCAACTGCAGAGTGCGTAAATTTCAACTGGTCTTTTTAAAACTCTCCATATTGAATAATTTATGATTTTAAAGTTTCTTTTCTAGAGCATGTTAGCTAGTTCAGATATCATATATCTATAATAGATGTGGTCATGTGACATTTTTTAACAAGCAAAGTGTGTTTCTATTGCTTTAGCCAATCTTCTACAGTCGTTTTCTCAAAATGACATGTTTCCTGTGCGCCAAGTCATTTTCCTTGTCCTTCAAAGCAGTTAGGGCATCATAATTCTAAGTTTCTTAGGGCTTATAGTTATATATATATATATATATATATATATATATATATATATATATAACTATATATAGCAAGACATTTACAGAATTTTTTTGTAAATATCTTTAATGTTCTCATTTTAAGAGAACAATAAAAGATACTGTAAAATTGTATGTGGGGGGGAAGGGTCTGTCACACATATGAGCGGTATATTTTCAATAAATCCATGAAAAAAACAATATTTTGATAAACTGACATCTGAGTTTTATCAATGTGCTGGAAAAATGGATTTGTGTGATATGCAAATCAGTTGTGGTGTCCGAACAATAATGCTGCGATGATGTGTTGAGAAGAAATCCGCTTGACACTGTTCTTGATCATAAAGGTTTATTACATCAAGGAGTTCAGCATCAATTACAAGCTCTGCAGCAGCTTGGAGAGTGACCCAGCCCGATGGCCACTCTGTCTCTCTGTACATCAAACATAGCTTATATAGAATATGTGCAGACATCTGCTAGATACCATAGAAGGGTTCAGTACTATTCTGAGGTAACAAAACAAGAGTTAGAGGTCAAATTCTATAGAAGGGTTCAGTCCCTACATAACCACCAATCACTACTCTCCCCTTAGGAGGTCACTGACCCTCTGTCCAGCTTTTTTAAAAAGCTTCTATTCATGTTCAGCTTGTAAAGTTTCATTTTCTATGACTAAATTTGGGAATAAAGCCTATTTGACTTTGGTGTCATGGGTGTATGAATTAGTTTAAGCGCGCATGCGCGAGAACACAGTTGAGACCGTTGAGAGCGCGGGTCTTTGGCTGAGGTAAGAGAGCCAGTCTAATTACATTGTTTTAATTATATTATTTACAATATTAACTCATCCTAACATTTGGAGTTAGTTCTGTTTCATCTTTTCTTCTTCTGTGTCGGTTTTGTGGAGGTTTGCCGCCGCCCACCGCGATTTAAACCGATTTTGTTTGTGAGAAAAGGAGGAGGAACGAGTCCCAGCTAACGTTAGCTTAAATCTCTGCACGTGTTATCGTTAGCATTAATTTGACTTGTCTCCTTGTTTATTTTCCTGTCAGGGGAGCCGCCGAGTCTACCACAAACACAGCTGATGACTTACCTGCTCTGTAAATAAGGTAAGAAGGTGTTTTAAGTGACAACATGTGTGCACAACTAAGTGTAATGTACACATAACGGTTACAAATTTAGTGTGTGAACTTTTTATATGAGGTAACAGTCTATGGTCTGAAAGTGGTAAATTAACTTTAATGTGACTGAATTTGAGTCGCATCTTTTTAATACTGCCAGTTCAGCCTTCAGTGTTTCCTCGACCGGACTACTAAAATTTCCCAGTGGTGTCTGTTTCAGTGTGTTAGCTTCTCAAGACTGCTGGAAAAGTGAAGCTGGTTAGCGCTAAGTTAGCTAACATCTCCTCTCCCCTTCAGGCTGAGCAGCTTCTACAGCAGCTACATAGCTGCTATGTAACTTAATATTAGCTCAATTTATAGAAAGTAACTAGAAGCTGTATTTTATTACTGCCTACTTGTCCAATGATCAGAACATCAGGTACAAACTTGGACTAAACTGACGTAGCCTGCAGCTCTGTCCTGTACAGACTGTTTAAATTATTTTAAAATTTTCAGTCTGAAAAAGTGGTTTTGGAAAAGAAAGGTGCCAGGAGGAGCTGACGTTAGTAAAGATAATTAGTGATGCAAACTAGTCCTTTTAAGCTAATTAGGAGATGTTTCTTTTTGGATTTTAATGTGCAAATAAAATGCACCTCACAAGGGAGGAGGTTTCTCATGTTTTCTATTTTTTTTATATTAATGTCTACAGATAAATGTCAGAAGCTGTAAAACAAAAGGCAAACACAAAAGGCAAACATGAACAGTCGTATCGATAATGATTCTGAGGTCATATTAACAGGGTTTTCATGCGATATGGTGAAAATAATGGCCCAATATGATGTGAAATTACATATTTTTCATTAGAAAATATGAAATGTTCTTGGGGGAGCACCCCCAAACCCCCCGACCAACACCAAAACATTCATCTAAAGCTCACATTAAACTTGGAAAACACTGCATTTTTAAGCTATTCTAAGGTGCATCACATGCTTATGGACACAAGAGCAATGTTGCTGAGACATGTTGTGTTGGGGTTTTATATTCAGACTCCGCTGCTGAAAAAAATCCTAGAGGAAACACTGAGCCTTTATTTGTTAGTTTTATCTGTTATGTTTTGGTGAGCTGCTGATAAAATTACAGTCAGTAAATCAGAATACTTATGTTTTTTTATTGCTTTAAAGATAAAGTTATTAAAAAGTAGTTGAAAACAATCAACTTTACAATAACAAATAATATCACATTAAGTCATGCTAAAAATCTGACGATTACCATAAAATACAACAACACTGACAAAATGAGGATGACTGAAAAGCACAATGGATAACTGAATAAAACCTCTTAACCGACCAGATCATTGTTAGGTTTCAAAAGAAAGATTTTCAATTAACAACATAGTTACATTAAATGGAAAATTCTTAATTCAGATTGACCCACCCTTCACATAACAGACAAACATAAATAACTGCATAATCTTAACAATGACCATCACATGAAACTATTTACACAAATCCATCATAAATCTTCGTTTTTATTTCATCTTTCTCAAGAACACCCTTTTATCGTAACTAATTGAAATTTAAACACTTCTGTTTTAAGCACGTCTGGCCTCATTATTATTCTATGTCAAGTCTGGAATTAACATCCTATTTTGTCGTTATAGTGTACATTAATTTCCATCTCTGTATCCTGTAATATATCATGAAATATACAAGTTTCACACCCAGATCTTCTGAATGTCATTACAATCCCAGAATACATGAATCAGTAATTTCACATTTGAAACTCCCTGTTATACGACGTCATATATGTGAACTTTATTGCTGGTATAATTAATTATATACATTATATTGGATTAGCCAGAAATGTTGATTTACAGTTTACCATTTAACAGTGTCTTATGTCCGTAAATGCTGCTGGGCTTGGTTATGTTGCACGCTCGCCTGGCTCCGGCACAACACTGGTGCCGCTCTCTACCAGGTGTTATTTTATTGTAAACAACATTATTTTGCTGCTGGTGGAGAGAGAGCACCGATGATGCGGGCATATATACACAAATACATTTTATCCAAGCGAATATTGTGGCGATTATGGGCTAAGCCAGAATTTTAAACATTTGTCATTACTGAACAATTTGCTATTTATTAACATGTTGAATAATCAGTTAAGGAAAAACTTTGTACTTTGTGTAGCCTAGTCATCAGTCGTCATCCTGTAACCAACCCCATCTGTTTGCTCTCTTTTACTTCACCGGTAATATCTTCAGTGGGACTTTATTCAGATTGCTAACGTATGGAAACAGTCTCTCAGTGAAAGTGTGTGTGAAGGTGTGGATGTGTGTGTTTGTATCAGGATCAGAGAATGACAGGTTTCCTTTTTTCCAGTCCAGATGTACTCTGATCCTCTGGAGTTTCTTCTCCAAAAAGACAGTGGTGGAGAATTCTGGTAGTGAGCGTACTGAGTACTGATCTTTATAGAACCCTATCCTCCATAATCCAGATGGTGGCTCTTGTTTCCTTTGGACAGACTCTGCTAACATGCCAACTTTCCAGTCTGTACTGTCTCCTACCTCAACGTCCCAGCTGTGAGTCCCAGAGTTAAAGCCCTCAGACCCCAGGACAATGGGATAGTAGTCAAACCTCTCTGGGTTTTCAGGAAGCTTCTCTCTCTTTCCCAACACCACGCTGGTCAGATCTCCAGACAGGATGAGATGTGGATGAGCAGAGTTTGGATCCAGAATCACAGGAGTGTAGGAGACCATCTCCTTCATCTTGTTCCAGATGTTGAAGGTCAGGTTGCCCAGGTGTTTGGCCTCGTCTATCAGAGCTCCTGAGACCAGCTCTGGATCCTCCAGCAGGGGGCGCTTCTTGACTCTTTCTACTGCAGCCTTGTAGTTGAGCAGGAATGAGACGTCTTCAGCTCTCAGCTCCTCCTCTGTGGCTTTGATGGTTTCTGAAAGAGCTGTTATCTCTCTGCGCATAGCCTCAATCTTTAACTTCATCATCCGGCTCTTCTGCTCCTCTTCCTCCCTCACAGCAGTGATCCTGGCCTCCTCTTCCTCTTGTAGAAACTGGTGAAGCTTCTCAAACTGCTCTTTAATCTGCCTCTCTGCGTGTCGGGCCTGGACCTTAATGTGTTCTGTTGTTTGATCACAGTTTCCTTTAACTTGTTCAAAGAGCTTCAGTTTCTCCTGTAAGGGTTTCAGGGATTTCTTGAGCTCCTCTCTGTGATCCTGTGCAGCTTCATCGATGGGTCTGAATCTGTGGTTGTTGTGTGTTTTTGAATCTTTGCAGATGACACACACTGGCTGCTGATGGTCCAGACAGAACAGTTTGAGTTTCTCAGAGTGCAGACTGCAGAGAGTGCCAGACTCTGCTGAAGCTCTCTGATCTCTGTCCTTTAAAAATGCCTCACACAGGTTCTTTAACGCCAGGTTACACGGTGGATCACAGTGTTTAGATACTTTCTTACAGACTGGACAGCACTGTATTTGTTTCTCTCTCCACCATCTTTGCAGACAGGCTTTACAGAAGCTGTGTGTACATAACAGAAAAACAGGGTCTCTAAATATGTCATGGCAGACAGGACAGGACAGATCCTTCTCAGATTGGAAAGACATTTTCTCTCTCAGTGAAGCTGAATACACCAGGTGGAACAATATAACAGGAAGTTAGTCAGTTGGATGTTCACTAGCTTGCAAGTTCCTTTAAACTTACTTTCACTTTGAGTTGTGGCTGAAGTTGAAATTCAATTTCTGCAGCAAGTAGAAGTGTCAGTCTTTCTGGATTCCATTATTCCTGTCTGTAACTGTCCTTTCTCAGTTGAAGTTGTGGTTTTAGTGTGAAGGTGAATCTTGTCATCTGTCTCGCAATGGTTTGCTCTCAGGGAAAGAATAACAGACTTTGTTTCCTGGTTTGTTTGGGTTTGACAGAATGGGTGGAGCTTTGTCAGCCCAGGGTTGTGTTTTAATTTAAAGTGATTCTCTCCGATTGCTCGTGGGTTAAACTTACCAAGTTCACCAAGACCTAGTGGATAAATAATTAACTAGGCAGATATATAAGAAATTATATAAGGTAAGGAGTTCTGTGCTTTAAATGTCTATTAATCTACATTATTCTAATCCAGCGGTTCTCAAACATATTCACATCAAGGACCCCTAAACTGATACAAATTATACTATGGACCCCCATTTAATTATATTTTATACTAGGGCCCCCCATCTGATATGATTTTTGCTATTAGATGCTTTGTGAGCGATAAAGTCAGTGAAGTGCAAGATCTACCCACAACTGAACTGAGAAACGCTCTTTTCTATAGTTCACAAATTTAACTTTTTAAGATGAAGAATGTGTGTGTTTTTTTTTCCCCGATCACTGGGTCCATTTAAAGCCTTTTATTTATCATGTAGGGGTGGTGATGGTGCAATGAGTTCTAAAAACAATAATAAAAAAAAAAACAAGTATTAAAATGAACGGATGACAAAGTATCCTGAAATGACAACAACATGGGTAACAAATTCTCCTCCCTCTGTCTTAAAGACTTAAACCATTGAAGCCTTTGCCTGGTTACTGCGTGCATCTTACAGCTTAACTAATATAGCTTTCCTGTGGAATAAACTACAAAAACAAAACAAACAGCATCTTTATAAATTTACTTCAACAAAATATTTAGGAGATAAAGGAGCTCAGGCATCTTGAGTCGATGATAAACTCTGAAGTGGCCGCTTTTTGTTCTGGAAAGCTCAGGCAGGTTCTGTGGGATTTAGGGGTAGAGAGAGGAGCAGAGAGAGGGAGAGTGGGCTACAGAGAGGAAATGTATGTCAATTCCACATTATACTGTTAGTATATTATTAATATTACTTAGTTTTTTCATTTCATTTTTATTTCATATGGTTTACCACAAGTATAGGCTTAATATTTCAGTGGGTTGTTTTCATTTATTAAATCCTTGTGCAAGAAGCACAGTCTACATCTTTCACTACTACTGCCACTGGCTTTACCAGAGGCGAGAGTAGCAAACTCTTTAAACGCACAGTAAGCCTCAGTTTAGCTGGATGTGTAAGTTACTGTGAGTAATGAATAGAGACTGCAGCTCTGCAGCTTCTCACTGATCTAATACTGAATGAATATGATAATTCCACTTCCAGTTGTACATGAGACATGATAGATAGTATTAGTAATGAAAAGGCAAGATTTATAATTTGTAAAAAAAAAAAAAAATATATATATTAAAAAGTTACTTACCATATTGGGTGTCTGTCTATTTTATTTACAATTCATTCCAAATTAGCCATTTGTAAGTCGTAATATTAAAGCCATAATGTGATCATTTAATAAACCAAATTGATCATTTTAATATGAGGAATCTTGTGGCCGTTAGGAATGCATGGCACAGTGTGATGTAGTAGTGTGGTAATGCAGTTATGTCATAAAATGTTAAACTCATACACTCTCCTGACCCCCACAACAACGCTCAACTGTGCTTTATGCTCATGTTGCCAACTTTTGCACATACTTGTCAGCATTGTATTATAGTATTAATGTATCTTTTTATATTGTTTGTATACTTTTCTGTATATTTTTTCTGATCTCCTTACTTTTTATATATTTATATTACTATTTATGTTATGTGTACTGTAAGCACCAATTCATACCAAGGCAAATTCCTTGTATGTGAAAATGTACCTGGCAATAAACCCGATTCTGATTCAGAAAAAAAGGGATTCAAAATATATGTATTTTGTTACACATTTTGTTTGTTGCACATAAAGGTAATATGGTTAGTTAGCATTGAAAGAACCCGTAAACATACATTTCATAGGTCCAAGCACAAGCTAACCTGTTAACAAAATAGTAATAATAATGGATTACATTTATACAGTTGATCCAAGATAAACCAATCTGTCCTAAACAACAAGAAACATGACATTAATGACATACTTACTAAGCTTACATGTTAAGTTTCCTCCAGCATATCATTGTGATAATTGTTTACACTTACCAGCAGTAAATAACACTCAGTGATAAATTGATGAACTTAAAATGCTAGTTGACCACCACATTCATTATAATGGTGGCCGGCAGAGCCTCTCAAGCAGAGGTTTACTCAAACTTATCCACACTTTACAGATGGTACACAAAACAAAGATTAGCAAAAGCTGCTGCTATGAAACAGCATAGGAGTGGGAATATGTTTATTATATGTCTTGTAATTTAATAATTTGAAAGAGTCAGTTTGATAATGTATGAAAGTGTGTTTAAAGGTGTGCATGTGTGTTAGTATCAGGGTCATAGAAGTCAGCTTTCCTTTCTCATTGTCCAGATGAACTCTGATCCTGTGGAGCTTCTTCTTCACTTGAAGAACATTAGTTGGACCTGGTGGCGAGCGTGCAGTGCATTCATCATCGTAGAACGTAAGTCTCCATAATCAAGCCACTGTCTCTCCTTTTATCTGGGTAGACCTTCCTAACTTGCCTAACATACTGGTCATGGTAAAGTGGATAAGACACATGCCTTTGGTGTGAGAGACCCGGGTTCAATCCCCACTGTCATCCACCATTGTGTCCCTGAGCAAGACACTTCACCTCTCGTTGCTCTGACATATATAGCAATTGTAAGTCACTTTAGATAAAACAGTCTGCTAAATTAAAAAAAAAAAAACTCCCCCATCTATACGGCCTCCAACTATCACATACCAGCTGTTACCCTGTGAATTAAAGGCCTCAGAGCCCAGGATGATGTAAAAGTGATTAAAGGTCTGTGTTTTCAAGAAGGGCTTATCTCACACTGGTCAGATCTTTAAACAGGATGAGTAGAGTTTGGATCCCGAATCACAGGACTGTAGGAGCCCATCTCCTTCATCTTTAATTAAATTAGTAAAATCTATGTAAAGTTTTAATAAAATGAAAATAACATTTCTAGTGTAACAGCGCAGTAACTGAACTTCAACCTCCCCCAACCCCTGAATGAAACTGCATCTGAAAGCTTTGCTGAAGAGAAGAAATGGGATCCATGAAATCTTAATTCCAGTTGATTTTTAATTATCAAATGTACATCATCTCAGGGTTTAGTTTCACATTAAAACACCCATTACCCAATACAAAACGTTATTTTTCCCCCATACAAAAGTACTCTTATACCTTAAGTATCAAAAGTAGCAATGATTAGGCAACAACATCCAGGTAAGACAAAGAAGTCTACAGAATTACACACACACAAAAAAGACCTTGTTTTCCAGCTCAGATCTGATTTCTAACATTTATTTGTGTGCGTGTCTCCGATTGTACTTGTTAACTGCAGTATGGCTGGTAGAGAAATACTGAGGATGATACATAGACTTTTATTAATATCATTATCAAATCAGAACACTATGTTCAGGCAGACGCGAAGCAGATCAGAACTGAGCCACAAAGTTAAGTCAGATCTGTTCATGCAAAAATGCAGCTGAAGGAACAACAGAACAGCAATGGACCCAAAACTTGTTAGTTTGTTGCACAGTGCAGGAACCAGTAGTGTGAAGGCAGCTTTAATAGTCATTGATTCATTATGGCAACATTATGTACTCAAGGGATTCTGAGAGCTAAAGTTCAAGAGCAAGAAATCAATCGACATCAGTAGTCACGTACAGTTTGACACTTCCTTTCGGAGCAAGTCGAGTCGGTCTACAGAAACATCATACTGACAATAAACCAGAGAATTCCAGTTTTCTTCGTTTAACTGAGATTTTAAGGCATTTGTTTTGTTTATAGCACTTTGTTATTTTGTTGAGTAAAGTTCTGCACATATTTGGTTATTATTGGCTGGTGAAGGATTCAGAAGGTGGTCATTTGGCTCCCTGGTACACAAAAAAATAAAAATAAATCAGTGTCTCATTTTCCTTTTGTTCTCCGCACTGTGTAACCCGTAGAAAAGTTATTCCAGTTATTTAAATGCTCCACTTGTCTCTGACCAAACCTTTTCCAAATTTAGCTGTAACATTTTGGAAATGCAAAAAGACACCAAGCTGTGGTGTCATTCTCACCAACTATCTTTAATTTATCAATCATGTATAAAAAATATGGTCATGTGCAAAATTAGTCAAGTGATCATTTGAGGGCAGCAAAAATCAATAGATGAGACCTCTCTTTCCCAATAAGGTCATTTATTTGTCTTATTTTATTTACAGCTCCAGCTTTAGGCCAGATTATATAATCTACCACTTATACCATTTTCCCTCCCTGACTCACTGCAGAACAGAGTACCAAGTTTTAATTAACGATCATTTTCTTTCCCCTGCAACGTTTTAGGGTTTTTTTAAAAATTAGTTTTAAAAATTGGACACTTTGACGGGCAGTTTGAAACATATTTCAGCAAGTATATCAATTGTGTCAGGGCAGAAAATCCTTGAAACATCTGATTTAAACGGAACTCATTATTTGCAGTGCAGCTAACGTGTCCACTTAAACAGAAATGGAAAAAATGGTGCAGGAGGAGAGACAGCGGGTTTCTTTGTGCATCACGGCACGGTGACGTGGAAGGGGGAGCCTGGGACATGTTCGTCGCCCCACTTGACGACTAGGATGTAGTTGCCCCGCTCCTTCAGCAGGTAGCTTACGTTGTACTGCAGATTGCCCACGTGTTTGACCAGAACCTCCTCACAGGGGACCTGAGGACCGTGCACGCCCACCAGTAGCATGTTCTTACCTGGGAAGAGGAGGGGAAGAGAACAAGTGTTAAGTATGCGAACATCAGTGTTGTTAAAAGGAAAGTTCTGTAAAAGTAATTCCTGTAAAAATATTTTACTCAGCGTTGTTAAAATCAGGGGATGTATGGACATCTCTAGACATACTATGTCAGTGGCATCATTTGTAGAAGAATGTTTCTATTCCTCAAAGCAAGGTATGGGAAGAAAGAAATATTTTTGTACTGAAACTCCTGATTATTCAAAACCATTTTTAACGTAAAAAAAAAAAAGTCCAATGTAAATTGCATAAACACAAGCAGCTGTACAAGAACTTTGTAATAAATAAATAAGATTGGCAAAATTCAAAGAATAAGCAACTGTGAAGCTAACTGTTTTGACTAACTGTTAGAGGGATGAAAAATGGAGACGCTATTATTAGACTGTATAAATTGTATCTTCTGTAAGCGAGCATTATAGGACAATGTCCATGAACTCCATATTTATTGCAATTAAGAAAAGGGCAAGACCATTTAGGTATGTAGCATTTTGCATGCTAACAAGCCAATGTTTTATATAATAGTGATTAGCATGTTTGTCAGCATGCAATGTAAGCATTAAGTCCATCAGTCCATTTGTGATCCCCCAAAGTTATAGGATTTATCCTCTGGGGGACCATCAATATCTATAGCAAGATATTTCTTTTATTAGTTTTCCATCAATAGGCCAATACTCTCATCCCTACAGCAACAGGGTGAGTGTGGATACAAATCAAACCATATTTGGAAGAAAAAACGGATATCATGGCTCCAAACTAGGGCGATAAATTGAATCTTATTTTTAAAAAAACTAACTGCGTTAAACTGTGGTGATGATTGCAATGTGATTAATCCTGTTGCTGCCCTATTTGAATTTGTTGCCTTAATACAAATCTTTCCCTCCTAACAGAAAGTGCATTGTGAGTTGTTCATGTACACTCACAGGTCAACAGTCAAGTTATATTGTCAGTGGAGTTTTCCTTACCAGCCTGGCTGCAGTCGACTAAGAAGCTGCTCTTCTGTCCCACGAAGGCCTTGCTAAGGCCGGGGCCTTTGCTCAGCACCTTGCTGGCGTCAGAGTCGGCCATCCTGGGCATGGCACTCTGGGTGAAGCTGCTGCTGGACGCCCTTACTGCGGGATCCACTGTTAGTGTCGACGTCTCGCTGGCATTGGTCACATTCACCAGCCGATTACCTAAAAGGGGTGAATCAGGTGTAATTATATTTAATTAACCTTGTAGTTTTAAAAACCTTTCAAAGGAGGAGAACAAACTATTAAAAACAAAAAGGTTGCATCTGCTCCTACATTTCCCAGAATTACATTTGACAAGCCATAATAAACCTCAGGATATTTTGCATCCAGCCATTCGTTTGTTTACTTATTAAGTAGCTAAATAGCAAAAGCAGTAGCTTTCAGCTGCACGTCATGGTCATTTATCTTCTGATTGCTGAAGACAATGAGTTGGGGTTAAAAGCTAAAAACAAAGCTAATAAGTAGAAGTTTGAGTTTAGATTATTGTCACCCATTTGATAATATACTGAATGGCAATAAATCAATATATTTACATTTGGGAAAAGTAAAAGTCACTCATTAATATACTGTAGACAGACTTAGGTTTCTGCTGCACAAGAGCTAAATCCACAGAAAGAATATTACACACAAGGACTAAACAGAGCCATGAATTTTACATACATACATCAGTAACACCTGGTCTGTAGTGTGAGGTTATAGTGGCACAATACAGGTCAGTTCAGCAGAGTGACGTTCACCACTTTACCTGTAACTTTGGCCTTGAAGGGACTGCCACTGATGTGGTTCGGTCCTCCATATTTGATGCTGACCAGGTAGTTTCCAGGTGCCATGGGAGTGTACTGCACCTTGTAGCCCTCTGGAACCTCCTGGCAGTCCATCTTTACCTTGGACGGACCCTCGATGGTAACGGCTAAGGCCCCGGGGCCCGCCTTAGTGTTGTTAATGATGAACTCTGACTGGGTACCTGCAAGATTAATAAATAAAATTAACATGTAGAGGTTTTGGTACTTTTGATAAAATACAAAAACTTTAATTAGAATGTAAAAAGTATTCTTGTTTTGTGTCTTTAAGTGAAGAGATCACGAGTCAGGTGAATAGATGGACAGATAACCCACCTGTTGTGCCTCTCTCCAGTCCAGCTCCATAAGCTGAGACCAGACCGGGATCTCCGGTCTGTCCAGGTTCTCCGACACGGACCTGGAAAGGACTTCCAGGGATGTGAGAGCCGTTGAACTTGACGTCGATGGAGTGGACACCATTCTCCCTGGGGATGAACCGGACAGCATACTTGTCTGGAGGACAGGACAGAGGGATTTGGTCACTGGAAGTCCCAATATCAAAGATTTTTGAGACTTTCCTCCCTTACAGATAATTGTGCTGTGTTTGTGAAGAGCAACAGGACTGAAAGCAGGGACTGTCTGATGTACGTTTCCTTGAAAACACATACTGACCTTTTTCCAGCTCAGTGACGACGCACTCCTCCAGAGCTCCAGAGGGGCTGTGGACTTTGGCCGCCATTTTGCCCTGCGCTCCATTCAGACGCACCGCAAAGGATGCTGGGTGATTCACCTTCAAACCAGACTCCTATCAACGTCAGACACAGAGTCAGATTACAGGGATGAAGAGGTTAACAACAGGAAAGAATCACATCAAAACATGCATATAACAACTCTCTTTTAATTAGTAGAAGTAATACAAACAACAGTTTTTATTTATAATTTCTTCATTTATATTTGACATCTTCTACTCTTACCTGAGCCCCTGTTGGTGCAGCTCCAGCAGACAGAGGCCAGTGTTAAAAGCAGAGTTGGACCAATTGACTACACTACAATCTTGCAGTGTTATAGTACAGTGTTTAAGGAAGTACTCAATAAATCTGACATGGTTTACAGCATTTTAGACTCTTAAAAATTCTGATATTGCTGGCTATTCATTTTTATGTTAACATTTTTGATAAAGAAGAATTGACATGAAGAGCTGTACCGAGTGGGACATTTAAAGTGTAAAAAATGAACTTGTTTGTGCTCTCTGGTGGACAAACTATGTAATGGGGATACGGTTGTTAAATGACCTCAACCGTTCCTCTGGTATTTCTGTACAGATGTCTTGTTATGCAAGTTTACATGCATTATCAGGGTGGATAAAAGAAAAAGTTTTATTGCTAATTTATAACAGAATAAAATGTAGTATGATAATTTATTATGGTATTAAATGTTGCAAAAGCAACTGCACAAGAATTGATAAAATACATTTCTTAAATTGGCAAAGTTACTGTAATCTAATCAAACAATACTATTTTGAATCTGATCAGACATTTAACAGCTTTCTGTAGTTGACTGTTTTAGGTACTCCGTGCCAATTCTCTTATTGAGGCTAGGGCTGCACAATTAATCTGATCGCAATGTCATGTGCGATTACAAAACCGCAAAAAGTATGCGATTTAATGAAACAGTAAAAGTGTGTGAGACAAAGAAAACAGAGAAGGAAGGTTTTTATGTTTGGCTCGTTGGCCATTTAACGTTGAATCGGTGCATTTTGTTGTTCAACATGTTCAACTTTTCATAGAGCCAACGTGCTTGTTGGTCACTTTTTGTCAACCGGCCAATCACAACCTGGATGGGGCAGGACAAGTTTGACGTGCTACAGCAAATCATTAAATGTTGAACAACATGATTATTGACCAGTTAGTTCTTAGCATTAACAAATTAGAGACCAATGGTAGAGCCTTTTGCTTGAACAAGGATTAAATTTAAAAAAACTCACAAAAATGAAACAGCTATAATAGTTTTAATACTCAACAAGTGGTAAAAAAGTATACTATTATATAAATTTAGTATAAAATGTAAACTGTTAACTAAACATTATACTCTTCATTTAATATACTCATGTACAGTTCCTCCTCCAGGTTGTGGATAGAGACTCTCCAGTAGACAGATGTACATCGAGACAGGATGCAAGTATGCCAATATTTGCTCCTTCTAGCTGCCTCCTCTGTAGAGCAACACACTCCCCATGTTCTGTTTTACTTATTATAAATGTTGTTTAACTTTGTTCAAGTTGAGAAATACACATTTCAAACTGTCAGTATTTCACACATTCCTTGATAATTAAGCAAATAGACTCAAATTACCATTTATTCCATTATAATCAAATCGCGTTATTGACTTTCTTTAAGTCATGCTGCTCTAATTGAAGCTTAATAACTAAACCTAATTTAAGTATTTTGTAATTAAGAGAGCAGCACTTTATCTGTTGACTGTACTATAAGACCCACATTTAACTAATACATGACAGCGTTGCAGACAGAGCAGAGGTTCATCTACAGCTACAGACGGGAAACAAACTACAGTCTCTAAAAGCAGGCGATTCGCTGTGGCCTGCCTCCGTCTGCTGTAGCTAGTCAACCAGGGAGCTGACGATGCTGATGAAGATGATGGTGCTGTTAAAAGCCTTTAAATGAAACACAAGAGAAACACCAGCAGTTCCACACCAGACAGAAGAGGGATGACCAGAGCCAGGCAAAAAACGGGATGATTTCCAGACCAGTACCTGACCTTTTCTCTTGTACCACATTGTGACAAAACTTCATGAAAAGCTTCTAAATCTCATCATGTGTTCAGTAAATGTCAAAGAAATCTGTCTTTGACATTTTATTTGTGAAGTCAACATTTTGTCCTCAGGGTGATGCTAACAGAAACAGCATTCAAAATTGTTTCAACTCAACAATAAACAATTAGTTGGTTAATCTATTAGTCGACTGGTGCAGTCTTCAACAACTATAATAAATCCATTCATTCTTTAGGTGTGATCAACAAAAATGCTGATCATCTTTGGTTCCAGCTTATCAAATGTGAGGATTTCCTGATTTTTTAATTAATTAAAATTAATTTCAATTGACATTTTTCACTTACATATTATATAAAAATGGTATAATTAATTAGTGGTCAATGAATTAAAGCCCTTAGAGCCTTTTGTCCAAAAAAAGGATGAACCATTTCTATTTTTGACTCTCCATGATATTTCCTTTAGCACCACTCTGTGGTCAAAGTGTCAGTTTCACAGAGAAACTCTGCCTGGCTGTGGTCACATCCATGAGGCCAGTTGCATAAAGAAAATCCAAATACTTTTACCATCTGTACAACTGGGTTTGACTGATATGGGTTATTTAAGGCTGGTGCTTAGCCAGACTTAAATGTTGTTTTCAGTTTTAAATGTAAAACAAATTCAGGTGTTGAGAGTCTACATGTATTTTCTTCTTGTTGCAGTGGAAACAAGAAAATACATGTATTGTATAAATTACATCTCTTGAAAATACACTTCCTCATAGACGCAACTATGACCTGTGTTGAGTTTTTAAACATCACAAGTGGGATTTGGGTGCAATAATCTGCCAGACGGGTCTTTAAAGTGGATTTTTTAACCAGCAGCAGTTAGAAACTTGATGATCCCAATATGAATTAACATAACTTGTGTTTGATCAAAAATCCAAACCAGTCGAACCATTACACCCAGTTCATCTTCTCTGTTTGGGAGAAAAAGTCTGTCTTTGCTCCTGGCATCACATTTTTATGCAACTGTGCCCCAGCACCCTTAAACAAGGCAGGGTAGGCCGAGTGTGGAGGTGTCTCCTCATGCCTCACCTGAAGGCCGGCAACAGTGAGGCGCCGAGCGTCGTTCGCTGGAGCAACAACGGGAACAAGGTAGGGGCTGTCAGGTATGTGCTGATCGTTAAACTTCACCGAAATCTCATAATCACCTGGAGAGGAGGAGGCGAGAATGTAACTCAAAGAGATACGTCTGTGAACAAACATCAGGGTGAACTGTGTGTATCTTGTGTACCAGGCTCCTGAGCGATGTAAGAGACGCCGCAGGATCCGTCCTTGCGGTCATCAAAGGAGATCTCCGCCCTGCTGGGTCCCTCCACGGCGATGGACAGACCACCAGCCCCCGCCTCCCTCATCCAGATACTGAAGTCAGCTGGTGAAAGAGAGGATATAAGAAAACTTCAAATCCACAATACACAGACTTCTGTGTTACAGATTAGGGTTAAATGAGGCTGGTGTTTGTTATTGATGAGAAATCCCATAAAGAGACTAAAACCAACGCTCTATGTCCGTCTTTTGGAGTTCTCTGGCCAATCTGTGGGACTCAGTTTGTCATAAATCACAAATGCATAATGTTTTTCTTTTTTAAGCGCAATAAAGCTAAAATCTGTGGCCATTTTTAAGCAAACATTACTCAGTCGGGACATTTTATGGGGACTATATGCCAACATGTCACCCAGTGCAACAGTGTGACTCACTCGTGTTTTCAGTACTTATCAATGAAGCTCTGTGGTACAGATGAATACATCAGGCTTTTAGATACACAGACAAAACAATCAATTTGGGTTTTTGTCTTTTCATGGGATTTGTTGATAACAAAAAAACAGAATATCACCAGATTTATCCTTGTAGCTCAGGCAGGTAGCTCTGATGGGGGTTAGGAACTAGGCAATACATGTATTCAATGTAAAGAGTGTGTGTACCTGGCACTCCTGCCTGTGCTCCCTCCAGTCCCGGACCTCCTGCTCTCACCTTGGTGGCCCCGCCCTCTCCCAGTGGCCCCACAGTGAACTGGAAGGGGCTACCAGGAACGTGCATACCCCTGTACTTCACGCTCACGCTGTGCACACCCATCTCCGTGGGCACAAAGCGCACACAGTAGGTGTCGTTACCCACTGCAACCAGATCGGCGGGCTGCCTGGCTCCAGAGGGGGAAGTAACCTCGGCAGTAACATCCTGTATGTCGATCGCTGCAAAGAGAGAGAGTTTTATTACTTCTTTGTGTACTCGCTAAATGATTTACTGTTCACCTTATCCTGTAACTCTTAATGATTGGTTCTTAGCATCTTTTTAAAGCTAAAATAAATTGAATTTGGGGTGGTGGTGAAGAGAGGAGACGACAAGAACAGGAAACAAAAGGAGAAAAACAGGATCAGGTGGAAGATGAAATAAACGGGAGGAAGACATGATCATGAAAAGGTAGCATCTGTTTTTCCAGTTAATCACATAACTGATAAAACCTTTCTCCTGCAGTGCACTCTGCTGATCCAACAGAAAACTTTACAAATGTTAAATATAGCAGGGTTGACCATTACATTGACACTCTTGTCATTATTACAAATAATAAATAAATAGCATGTAGCCCTAAAACCAAAACAAAGTAAAGCCGGAAACAGATGAGGTATATTTTCTTAAGC